GGCAAGTTTTTAAAGTTCATGTCAATGCTACATTTTCATGCATATAGTTTATTTTTTCAAGTGATTTAATAATACCATTCCAAGCAACAATGTGCCTATTAAATGTGGTATTATTGTCTTTGATTTATATATTAAAGGAAAAGAAAGCAAGAAAAGGATATTCTAATTTAATATCATAATTAACTGATGTTAGAGATTATTTTAGATCTTAGTTTTGAGATAATATTTTTTCTCATGGAGTGCTGTTAATTCTTTGTATTTCTTTTTGTTGTTGTTGTTGTTCTGTTTGTGAAACTTAAGGAAACGTTATATAGAGTAGTAATTAAGAGTATGGCTTATGAAACCAGAAAGGACAAGTTCAAATTCTGGCTTTTCTACTTTCTGGACATGTCACATAAGACAAGTTGCCTCCCTTTTCCGTGCCTCAGTTTTTTCATCTGTAAAATGGGGATAGTATCATACATTCTCAAAAGATTGTTGTATGCAATAAGGAGTGCCTGGCATTTTGTAACTACTCAATAAATGCTAATTTCATCACTATGTCAGGCTCCTAGAGAGAGCAGAACCTCAAGCTACTAATGAGGCAGGTTGTATTCTTCAAGTCACCCACCTTGTCTTTTTGCATGTCTGATAAAATGTTTTGCTCTATTCCCTACTATGTAATGAGTATAACCTTATTATTTTATTATTAGTTGTTAACTATGGGTCAACCACTTTTTAAATTTATCTGTGTCACTTATCAAGTGCCACATCAACCACTTGTACAGTGAAGTTACCCAATTCTGATAACAGCCAGAAACAAGCAACCTCGTGTATAACGGACATGTGATTGCTGACTTCTGATGGATTGAATCCGTTTGAACGCTCATTATTCTTAATCAGTTAGGGATCCAGTCATAAAAGTGCAGTTTATAGTAACCACTCTTGTGATAAATAATGTTACATGCACTGCATACTTTATCATCCCAAATGTCCTCTTGCAGGCACATAGGAGTCACATAAACATGACTACCCAAACTTTGCTGACTCACTATCTCTCANTGAACGGCCGTCCAGTGGCCAGCAAGTGACTGCCTCACCCGGGAAGAGCATAATGATCACAGTACCAACATGGGCCAGTGAAGCGACGTCCTTCATAACTAGACTGAAGAATAAAAGGACAGCAATTTGTCTGTTCCCCTTCCCCAACTCCCCAATAGAATCTTTTAAAAAAACTAACAAAAAAACACCCCCGTTTATTTAGATACAGAATTAGTACTACTCATGTGTAATGTGCACCCTTATTTTTCCCTCACAAATTTGGGCAAAAAAGTGTACATTATACACGGCAAAATACTGTATCTCTTCTTGAAGTCATTTTATTACGTCAGTTCCAAGAAGCCATATCAGTAAAATTCCTCTCTATTGTTATATAGAGAATTTTCAGCAAAGTCTAGCAAGGCAAGTATGAGGAAGGATGGAGAAACCTACCAGAATTTTTAATTAAAATTTTAATTTAATTTGCTGTTAATTTCTTGAACACAGAATAGAGGTGCTTCCAGCTTAAAAGTATGAATTCTATCTCCTCTGTATTTAAGTGTAGGAAAAACTTGACAATTAAACAGAAGCATTAACTTTCAGTACCTACTACTGTTACTGATACCGTCTAACCTAAAAGTACTAACACAATACCTCACCAAAAAAACAAAAACAAAAACAAAACACTGAATAGGTGTCTAGGACTTCTTCAGATAAGAATATTTTAAAACATAGGGGGTTGGGGAGGGGTGTAATCTAAGCACCAGACCAACTGCTTCCCTTAGAAATGTTAATTTGCCATTTTGATGAAGATGCAGCGACATTCTTGCATCACCTAGAGGGCACAATAAATCACATAACATCATGGAACATGGTGGTGTTAATCTGGAGAATGAAATCCACAGGACGTTTCTGTTGGAATCTAAGAGAAGCTGAAGCAGTTCAGCAACTTCTTTGTTTATTTAAGATAATGCTGTCATTAAAGATTCCTTAAAAGAAGAAAAGAAAGGAGGCAGCTAAGATTTTCAGTAGAAAACATTTCTCAGTAACTTTTAATATCCTTGAAGGAATTTACATGTAGATCTACATATAAAGGGACCACTCTCTAATAATAGAATATGAGGGAATTAATGCAATTATACATAGAACTGTGCTCTTGGCATCCCCCTTTGCCCTGGATCTTATACCACAAAATAATTTCCTTTCCATTTTAAAGGAACACATGCACTGATTACAACTGGGGGAAATCTGCCCTTGGATGAAGATATTCAGAAATGGACCGTGAGTGACGTGCACAACTTTATCAGTGGTCTTCCCGGTTGTTCAGGCTATGCTCAGGTGACCTAATATTTAAGTATTCTCATAAAAGTAAGGCACTTTGAAATATATTTTCTTCATAATAAGTGCTGTCAAACTTGCACTTTGTCCTCAAAGAGGATTCCTCATAATTGCCCCTCTCTGAGGTCCTTGGCCGCCCTGGGAGAGGTGCTTCTATTTGGTGAGTTAGATCATGTGCCGGCCGTCCAGCTGGGAAAGCCGATGCCTGGCCTTTGTTTCTCTTCCATGGAGACTCCAGAGAGATGGGAATTCTCCCCAAATTAGGGGATTCAGAGCCCAAAGATCCAAAAAGAATGAGAAATGTCTACTGCATTCCTTACTTGTCCGTATAACAAACATTTAGGGGCATATACTTCTGTACCAGAAGTTTTAGGCTACTCATAATATAATGGAAATATACACTTCATTCTAAAAAAAGGCAAGAATGCAATAGATCTGAAAATATGGACATGAACTAATTTTA